AGAGAGAGTAGACAGAAACAGTCTGTTTTTCTAATCTGTTGGAAAATCATCAATTCAGAGATTGCAGACTCACGCTTCTCGTTCATGTGATCTGGAATCCCCCCGAGCGCACACACCGCCTGCAATACACAAAGACGTAACAATAACACACACACACAGACAGACACACTCACACACAGACACACTCACACACACACACACACACACTCACACACACTCACATACACAGACACACACACACACACACACTCACACACACACACACACACACTCACACACACACACACTCACACACACACACACACACACACACACACACACACACACACTCACTGCGACAGATGTGACAGAGGACTTGCTGAAGAGTCGTTCTGCTTCCTTGAACTTCCTGTTTCTTCTGTCAGTTTTACTGTTGGAGTTTCTGAAAGACAAGCCATCTCTATCATCCCTGTCATCCCATTGGACGGAGAGTTTGTTGGGGGCTGAATGCTCACTTCTGATTGGTCAGGTAGCGGTCCCATCCTCTGATGATGTTGCCGTACATCTGGGTGTCTTCTAAGTAACTGCCTTCAAACGCATAGATCTGCCTCTCCAGGTTCACCAGCGTCTCCTGAGGGTCACACCATACCTCAGTCCTGGGTCTACAGTCCTGGGTATCAGTCTACAGTCCTGGGTATCACGATTTTTGTTGGTATGTATCACGATATGATAATTTTAACAAAGCCTCATATAAGTTGTGGACATCAGCTGATGATCAGAGATGTATGTTTTGGGTTTATCAACACCCGGCTTCCTCCGCTATATCCAAATAAGTGTTTCCATTGCCGTTTTGCGAAAAACTTAATTTCGATACGTCCAAAAAACCACCGATTTTAAGCGCATTAACTTTTTATCGAAAAACTGTGGTTTATTCGAAATTTGCGCGTTTCCGTTAGACATTTTATGATGCGCAAATTCAAATTTCGAAATGTGATGCTCAATGGAAACGCAGCTTGTGTCTGCTTCACTGGACACCTGCGTGTCTTCCTCTGAATCTGAGTGAGCCAGTACCAAACACTTCTATGATCTCTGGCTCTGCTCTGGCTCTGCTCTGGCTCTGCTCTGGCTCCGCTCAGAACTACGGCTCCTGCTTCAGAACTACGGCTCCTGCTTCAGAACTACGGCTCCTGCTTCAGAACTACGGCTCCTGCTTCAGAACTACGGCTCCTGCTTCAGAACTACGGCTCCTGCTTTGCGTCGCTGCGCCGCAGGTGTTTTACAAACTCATTTTACTCTAATACTTTGAATAACCATTCCCAAAAAGGCCGCTCATATTAAAAGGCACACATGTCCACTAACTCCTCGTGAAAAATATTAACAAAAATTACTGCAATAAACGTGTGAATTTTATTCACGCGTTTATTGCGTGAATAAAACGCAATACAAAAACACACACAAAAATTCCGGGCGGAAACACTGACTGGGTCTAACAACCTTAGTCCTGGGTCTATAATCCTGGGTCTAACAACCTTAGTCCTGGGTCTATAATCCTGGGTCTAACAACCTTAGTCCTGGGTCTATAATCCTGGGTCTAACAACCTTAGTCCTGGGTCTATAATCCTGGGTCTATAATCCTGGGTCTATAATCCTGGGTCTATAATCCTGGGTCTATAATCCTGGGTCTATAATCCTGGGTCTATAATCCTGGGTCTAACAACCTTAGTCCTGGGTCTATAATCCTGGGTCTATAATCCTGGGTCTACAGCCTCAGTCCTGGGTCTATAATCCTGGGTCTAACAACCTTAGTCCTGGGTCTATAATCCTGGGTCTAACAACCTTAGTCCTGGGTCTATAATCCTGGGTCTATAATCCTGGGTCTACAGCCTCAGTCCTGGGTCTATAATCCTGGGTCTACAGCCTCAGTCCTGGGTCTATAATCCTGGGTCTATAATCCTGGGTCTATAATCCTGGGTCTATAATCCTGGGTCTATAATCCTGGGTCTATAATCCTGGGTCTACAGCCTCAGTCCTGGGTCTATAATCCTGGGTCTATAATCCTGGGTCTATAATCCTGGGTCTACAGCCTCAGTCCTTTAGGGTTATAAACATGATTATCAGAGGGTTTGATGGACAATAATGTTATGAATCATGTACATGAATTTAGTAAAGGCTGTATGTTTTAGGATGTCCTAAATATGCTCCAGAAAGATCAATAATAATTTAAAAAAAAGACAGAGCAAAACCCGCGAGAACAGGATACCGGGCGGAGAGCTAACGCGATTTGAGCATTTTCGCCGCAAAAATACGAAATTAAACATAGAATTATGTAGTTGTAGCGGTAACGGAATACACAACATGCGGTTAGGCACACTTATATGATGTTTAGTAATAGGTTATAATACACGCCACAACCCACAGCCATTAAATAGACGACGCAGAAGCTATTGTTGTTGTTAGCCTCGTTAGCATGCCCGGGCCTTCACAGAGCATCGTTAGCATCGTTAGCCTCGTTAGCATCGTTAGCATCGTTAGCATCGTTAGCATCGTTAGCATCGTTAGCATGCCCGGGCCTTCACAGAGCATCGTTAGCATTGTTAGCATGCCCGGGCCTTCACAGAGCATCGTTAGCATCGTTAGCATGCCCGGGCCTTCACAGAGCATCGTTAGCATCGTTAGCATCGTTAGCATCGTTAGCATCGTTAGCATCGTTAGCATCGTTAGCATCGTTAGCATCGTTAGCATGCCCGGGCCTTCACAGAGCATCGTTAGCATCGTTAGCATCGTTAGCATCGTTAGCATCGTTAGCATGCCCGGGCCTTCACACAGCAGCGTCAGCCGTTGTACAGACGGTTCAGATTCTAATGTTTAACCATTAAACCTACAGCCAGCTCTTGTTTCCTCTTCACCAGGTCCGCCAGCTCTCTGCGGGTGTCCGGGATCTGGGGCGGAGTGGCCTTTGTGTGCATCGCCATGACTGGAGCAGGTACCCGGGAGTGTGGAGAGGACAAGCCGAGGAGAGCGATACCAGAGCGGGCAGAGGAGGCAGGAGGGGGCGCTGTTGGACACAGAACCACAGTGTTCTAAAGAGCCAGGCTTTATCAGGCCATTACAGTTGATAATGTTTATCATTACCATGAAATACATTTAAAACTGTCCTTTATCAGGCCATTACAGCTGATAATGTTTATCATTACCATGAAATACGTTTAAAACTGTCCTTTATCAGGCCATTACAGCTGATAATGTTTATCATTACCACGAAATACGTTTAAAACTGTCCGAGTCCGAAATCAGAATAAGTCCATAAAGAAGAGAACCCAGAGAGAGACCAGAGAGAGACCAGAGTGAGACCAGAGAGAGACCAGAGAGAGACAAGAGAGAGACCAGAGAGAGAGACCAGAGAGAGAGACCAGAGAGAGACCAGAGAGAGAGACCAGAGAGAGAGACCAGAGAGAGACCAGAGAGAGAGACCAGAGAGAGACCAGAGATAAACCAGAGAGAGAGAGAGAGACCAGAGAGAGACCAGAGAGAGACCAGAGAGAGACCAGAGAGAGAGACCAGAGAGAGACCAGAGAGAGACCAGAGAGAGACCAGAGAGAGACCAGAGAGAGAGACCAGAGAGAGACCAGAGAGAGACCAGAGAGAGACCAGAGAGAGACCAGAGAGAGAGACCAGAGAGAGACCAGAGAGAGACCAGAGAGAGACCAGAGAGAGACCAGAGAGAGAGACCAGAGAGAGACCAGAGAGAGAGACAGGCCAGGGAGAGACCAGAGAGAGAGAAACAAAAGAGACCAGGGAGAGAGACCTAAGAGAGACCAGAGAGAGAGACCAGAGAGAGGTCCTCTCTCTGGTCTTAACAGGCCTTAGCCAAATGTTTCTTATTTTACTTTTATCTCCTTTCAGAGCTAACCGCTCAAACAAACTGGACCATCCCAAGTACAATCCAGAAGCAAACGGAATTTGCTCCGACATCACAGACACATGTGACATCACAGATACATGTGACATCACAGACACATGTGACATCACAGACACATGTGACATCACAGACACATGTGACATCACAGACACATGTGACATCACAGACACATGTGACATCACAGATACATGTGACATCACAGATACATGTGACATCACAAATACATGTGACATCACAGACACATGTGACATCACAGATACATGTGACATCACAGACACATGTGACATCACAGATACATGTGACATCACAGACACATGTGACATCACAAATACATGTGACATCACAGACACATGTGACATCACAGATACATGTGACATCACAGACACATGTGACATCACAGATACATGTGACATCACAGATACATGTGACATCACAGACACATGTGACATCACAGATACATGTGACATCACAGATACATGTGACATCACAGATACATGTGACATCACAAATACATGTGACATCACAAATACATGTGACATCACAGATACATGTGACATCACAAATACATGTGACATCACAGACACATGTGACATCACAAATACATGTGACATCACAGACACATGTGACATCACAGATACATGTGACATCACAGACACATGTGACATCACAGATACATGTGACATCACAGATACATGTGACATCACAGATACATGTGACATCACAAATACATGTGACATCACAAATACATGTGACATCACATACACATGTGACATCACAAATACATGTGACATCACAGACACATGTGACATCACAGATACATGTGACATCACAGATACATGTGACATCACAGACACATGTGACATCACAAATACATGTGACATCACAAATACATGTGACATCACAGATACATGTGACATCACAGACACATGTGACATCACAAATACATGTGACATCACAGACACATGTGACATCACAGATACATGTGACATCACAGATACATGTGACATCACAGACACATGTGACATCACAAATACATGTGACATCACAGATACATGTGACATCACAAATACATGTGACATCACAGACACATGTGACATCACAGATACATGTGACATCACAGACACATGTGACATCACAAATACATGTGACATCACAGACACATGTGACATCACAGACACATGTGACATCACAAATACATGTGACATCACAGACACATGTGACATCCCAGACACATGTGACATCACAGACACATGTGACATCACAGATACATGTGACATCACAAATACATGTGACATCACAGATACATGTGACATCACAGATACATGTGACATCACAGACACATGTGACATCACAGATACATGTGACATCACAGACACATGTGACATCACAGACACATGTGACATCACAGACACATGTGACATCACAGATACATGTGACATCACAGATACATGTGACATCACAGACACATGTGACATCACAGACACATGTGACATCACAGATACATGTGACATCACAGATACATGTGACATCACAAATACATGTGACATCACAGACACATGTGACATCACAGATACATGTGACATCACAGACACATGTGACATCACAGATACATGTGACATCACAGATACATGTGACATCACAGATACATGTGACATCACAGACACATGTGACATCACAGATACATGTGACATCACAAATACATGTGACATCACAGACACATGTGACATCACAGATACATGTGACATCACAAATACATGTGACATCACAGATACATGTGACATCACAGACACATGTGACATCACAGATACATGTGACATCACAGATACATGTGACATCACAGATACATGTGACATTACAGATACATGTGACATCACAGATACATGTGACATCACAGATACATGTGACATCACAAATACATGTGACATCACAGATACATGTGACATCACAGATACATGTGACATCACAAATACATGTGACATCACAGACACATGTGACATCACAAATACATGACAGCAATTGTTTTAGAGCCAGAACCAGAGACATGGGTTTAAAACAGAGTTCTATTGGACTGAGAGTTACAGACCCCAGTTTTAAAGTTACAGACCCCAGCTTTAAAGCTAATGCTAAGTGTTTTCTGGAAGTCTGAGTCCTTCTGTACAGGATTCAGTTACTGCAGCTGTTGATTCACACACACACACAAATGAACAAACAGCTGAGCCCTGTCTCAGTGAGTCCTGTCTCTGGTCTGAAAAGTCTGTCTCTCTCAGACCCAGACCCAGAACAGTCCTGTCTCTGGTCTGAAAAGTCTGTCTCTCTCAGACCCAGACCCAGAACAGTCCTGTCTCTGGTCTGAAAAGTCTGTCTCTCTCAGACCCAGACCCAGAACAGTCCTGTCTCTGGTCTGAAAAGTCTGTCTCTCTCAGACCCAGACCCAGAACAGTCCTGTCTCTGGTCTGAAAAGTCTGTCTCTCTCAGACCCAGACCCAGAACAGTCCTGTCTCTGGTCTGAAAAGTCTGTCTCTCTCAGACCCAGACCCAGAACAGTCCAGTTTCCCGCTCCCTTGTGCTGACTTCCTCTGTCTTATTTTTAACTTTCCGCCTTTGACATTTCACAGATCTGAACCTGGATTCTCAAACATCCTGACTCCCAGCTCTGACCTCAGTCCTGGGTCTACAGCCTCAGTCCTGGATCTACAGCCTCAGTCCCGTTCCCAATGGACCAATGGCAGCTATGGTTTAGAGTGATACATAAATAAATGTTATAGAATTCCATAGATGCTTTAAATGTGTTTAATGTCATGATTTAGGTTTCCACGGTAACAGGCCTGGAGGAAATGAACGAAATATGCATGACCCACTTTCTGCTTCACTGTGAGGAAAGAGCAGCACCCAGGACTGAGGCTGTAGACCCAGGACTGAGGCTGTAGACCCAGGACTGAGGCTGTAGACCCAGGACTGAGGCTGTAGACCCAGGACTGAGGCTGTAGACCCAGGACTGAGGCTGTAGACCCAGGACTTAGGCTGTAGATCCAGGACTGAGGCTGTAGACCCAGGACTGAGGCTGTAGACCCAGGACTTAGGCTGTAGATCCAGGACTGAGGTTGTAGACCCAGGACTGAGGCTGTAGACCCAGGACTGAGGCTGTAGATCCAGGACTGAGGCTGTAGACCCAGGACTGAGGCTGTAGACCCAGGACTGAGGCTGTAGACCCAGGACTGAGGCTGTAGACCCAGGACTGAGGCTGTAGATCTAGGACTGAGGCTGTAGACCCAGGACTGAGGCTGTAGACCCAGGACTGAGGCTGTAGACCCAGGGCTGAGGCTGTAGACCCAGGACTGAGGCTGTAGACCCAGGACTGAGGCTGTAGATCCAGGACTGAGGCTGTAGATCCAGGACTGAGGCTGTAGACCCAGGACTGAGGCTGTAGACCCAGGACTGAGGCTGTAGACCCAGGACTTAGGCTGTAGATCCAGGACTGAGGCTGTAGATCCAGGACTGAGGCTGTAGACCCAGGACTTAGGCTGTAGACCCAGGACTTAGGCTGTAGATCCAGGACTGAGGCTGTAGATCCAGGACTGAGGCTGTAGATCCAGGACTGAGGTTGTAGATCCAGAACTGAGGCTTTAGACCCAGGACTGAGGCTGTAGACCCAGGACTGAGGCTGTAGACCCAGGACTGAGGCTGTAGACCCAGGACTGAGGTTGTAGACCCAGGACTGAGGCTGTAGACCCAGGACTGAGGCTGTAGATCCAGGACTGAGGCTGTAGACCCAGGACTGAGGCTGTAGATCCAGGACTGAGGCTGTAGACCCAGGACTGAGGCTGTAGACCCAGGACTGAGGCTGTAGACCCAGGACTGAGGTTGTAGACCCAGGACTGAGGCTGCCACCAGAGGAAGGATTAAGAACCTAATTTATGGCCTCTCTCTGGTCTCTCTCTGGTTTCTCCCTGGTTTCTCTCTGGTCTCTCTCTCTGGTCTCTCTCTGGTCTCTCTCTGGTCTCTCTCTGGTCTCTCTCTGGTCTCTCTCTGGTCGCTCTCTGGTCTCTCTCTGGT